ATGTGGCCTTGGAGTAAGAACCCCGTTTTTTCAAGCCAGCCATGGGAAAAGAACCACCCTGGGGCAGAAAGCCCTGAGTTGTGGGGTGGTTCACATCCCTCATTTCAGATGCAAGCGTGCAGGATGATTTTTTTTTCCCCCATATGGCGAATCCCTCCTGGGCCACGGCTCAAACTAAGCTGAACTCCAGCAGAGCTGGCCCAGGCTCCTGCTGCCAGCTGCTCCAAAAGCTTCTGCAGAAGCAAAGGGGAAAGGGAAAGGTCCTGCAGGAGACCTTCCTGTAGGGCAAAGGCATTGAGATCCTGGGAAGCCAAACGGCAAAGTCCTGTTGTGAAACCTGCACCCCGCAGAGCCCTTCCATGTCTCCACAGAGGGTTTCAGCTGTGCTTCCCAGAGCCTCTTCCAAAGGGGAATTCTGCTTGATTCTGGGGCTCTGGCTCTTGGGATGAATTTCTGCTGATGCTGGAGGAAGACAGCCTGGAAATGGTGGCTGCGTGTGAGCCGAGGCTTCCTCTGATGTCACGGATGTAAAACACAGCCTTTACTACAACTCTCCCTGAGCGCCCTGGGATCTGCTCGGGGCTTGACAGCTATCCCTGGGGCTCTCCTTGGCTTCCCTAAACAGCAGATTCCAGGCCTTTTATAGGCAGCACCTGTTAGTTTCCGCCACCGGCAGCACTGCTGCAGGTGAAATTCCAGCAGGATTATTTTGGGGTTCTCTTGCCCATCGGCCTGTTCCTTCACTGAGTGACCATGGGGCTTCGGATGCCGGTGACCAGCTGCACGTTGTTTCTGGAGCACACAGCCATCCCAGAGCTCCTTATCCGGCTCCTTCAGAGGAAAAAAATCTATTTTTATCGGGAAGCATCTAAGCAGCCTCTCCTGAATTAAACCCCGGCCTCTCGCAATCTGTTCAGTATCGAATACTTCAAAAGGTGGAATATAGAAAAAAATGTGTCACCGACACGGAAAACTTGCACTGCAGTGAGAACTGGGATTATTTTGCTCCCAAATTAAACTGAATAACGGGAGGGAGGAAGGCTCTGCCAGATCGAGCTCCTGCCTCTGCTCTGGGCTTGGAAGTGCTCTGGGTCTGTACTGCAAGGGTGCTCCCACCTACATGGGAACTGTCAGGTGATGCTTTTCAGGGCTCTAAAACCCTTGGCTAATTCTGGAGTGTAGGATAGAGCAGATTACAGGGTCAGAGCACCTAAATTCCCCATGATCTTGGAGGCGAGAGGATCGTGCTCCCATTCCAGGTAGTTTGAAATCCAAGTCGAAGAAAATAGTGTCATTTGGTGGCAGGTGGGAGGCAGGTTTGCCCTGAAAGAGTGAAAAGTTGTGGTGTCCCACGTGCTTGTGGCATGGAGACCCCCAGCATCCCATTCCTAGTGCACAAGCCTGTTGTGAGCTGCTGGGAGGGGGCTCAGATGGGCTCCTGGTCCCATAGTTCTTGGGGCAAGAGCCCTGAAAGGGGAAGGAGGAGGGAAGGCATCTGCTGCATGCAAGGAGAAGCTGCGTTCAGGGGGAAAGAGGAAAGGAGCTTTGGTGGAAACTTTGCATTTTCTAACTTGCATGTTCTGGGGTTTTCTACCAACTTCCCCTTTGTGTTTTCCCATCCAGGGGGTGGGGGCATTGCTGGGCACTGCTGCAGGGGGTTGAGGTGGTTCTGAGCAGGCAGGGGCTCAGCTTGGTCCTGGTGTAGGGTGTTAGGTGCAGGCAAGAGGAGGAGAAGCCAGGTCTGCCTGGGGACTCCTGCTCCTGGGCTGAGAGGTGTGAGTGGGTCCTGTGGAGGTGTTACTGTGGTGGGTCATGGCTGGAGCTCATGTCATAGATCAGCAAACCCTGAACGGGGTGGTCTGAGCAGAGATGGGGGGGACTCTCTGAGGCGATGGCTCAGAACGGAACACACGGAAAAATACCCCAAAGCCCCATTTTAGTCCTGTCTGAGAGGCTGCCTGGAGCCACGAGGTGTTTTGTGCTGTGACCAGTGAAGCCTCAGGGGCAGGCAGCCCTGCCGGCAGCGCGAAGCCCTTTGTTCCCGATTCCTCTGGGAGCAGCAGCAGTCAGGAAAGCACCTCGCAGCCTGTCGCTGGACAACAGCACGCTCTGTGCCTGCTAATCCCTGGGCATGGGAGGCAGACAGGGTGCTCGCACGCCGCTGCCCGGCGAGGAGGGAACGTGGGCTGGGTGACGTGGAATGCATACAGACCATCCACATTCCTACAAATCTGGGCTCTGGGAGAGGCGTGCCTCCTGCCTGCAGGTATAAATCCCTGTGGTCTCAGGAAGGCAGGACCCTCGTGCCAAGGCAGTGGGGAGCCCGTGCTGCACACCAGGTGTGGCAGCCAGCCACGGGCAGGGCACCTGGCCACGCTCAGCTCAATGTCCCAGTGCTCAGGTGGATGTTTCTCTGAGACCCATTGCTGCAAACAAAAAATGAGCTTTGGGGTTGAGCAATGCCCAACCTGACCATGCTCTGGTATCAGGGGTCAGCTCTGGGGCCCCAAAGTAGGCACTTCCCCAGCTCAGCCCCTTGGCATGCCACCTGCCTTGTGGGGAGATGGACAGATGGAGAGAGGGAGGATGAAGAGGAGGCACTCAGCTCGCTCAGGTTGGGCTAAGCTGGGCAGCACAGGCAGTTCCCCCTGGTGCAGGGGACCCTAAAGGGGACATGGGGGGTCACCACCCCCCAGGAAGTTGCTTTTACAGCGGATTGCAGAGGGGAGCAACAAGCAATGTGCTCATCATGGGGCACAAAGCCCGTGTGGTGGGGAGGAGGCCTGGCCCCCTGCTCCTGTGGGCACACACAGGGCACAGGACCCTGACTGTACTGCAGTGCTACCTGCTAATGGTTTTCTCAATTTGGTGGAGTGAGCACTTGGCATTGTGACCCCCCCGGGTGCATGTAGGGGCTGGGGGATCTGTGCAGTTGTTGGCTGGGGGTGCCAGTCCCGGTGCCCAGGGCAGCCCAGTCCCTGCCTGCATCACATCCTCATGTAGGGGCTCATCGAGAGGCGGATGATGTGATGGTGCTTCTGTGCTTTCGAACTTCCTCCATGTGTTTCTCAACCACTTCTTGTGGAAGGTCTGGGGGCAGCAGGCGATGGGGAAGCTCAGGAGATGCAGAAGTTCAGGAGATGCCACAGCAGCAGATCCAGCAGCGTGTGCCCAGTGTCAGCACCGTGCTCAGAACAAGGAGTGCATGAGGCCTATGCTCCAGGGCTGCTCCCCATGATTTGGGTGTCACTTGAGAAGCCCAGGGTCACCTCACAGATGGCCAGACTGCCACTGCTTGGATGCAAGACCAAGTCTCAGACTGAACGACACATCTGGACATGACACAAAACAGCTCCGTCCTTCTGTGTTTGTTTTATGGGAAAAACGTGTTCTGGTGTCAAGTGCTGCTGCCACGTTAACCCTGATGTGCCTTTGAAGGGAAACACCGAGGGCTGAAGGTTTTGGCTGGGGATGTTGTGGACTAAAAAAGCAAAAAAACTAACTGAAGGAGTCTAGAGATACTGCTTGTGGTAATTCTGACCATTGGGATCAAGTAATTCCACACATTGAGGAACAGCAGGAACATCTGTGGGTACGGCACATACTGCTGAGAGTCAGAAGGGATTAACAGCTGCCAAAAATTAGCTCTGGTCTCTGTGGGAGCCAGCTGTGGCCTGAGGAGTCAGAGCAGCTTGTCCTACAGTGGGTCCTCCTGGGAGCATCCAGCTGGAGATTGTGTCCCAAAGGCAGCTTTGGCAGGAGTCACTGCCCTGGGTTTCCCTGAAAGGAGGTTGTAGCCAAGTTGGAGTCATTCTTCTCTCCTGAGTAGCAAGTGACAGCTCAAGAGGAGATGGCTCCAAGTTGCACTAGTGGAGGTTTAGTTTGGATATTGGGGAAAATTTTTTCACTAAAAGGGTGGTCAAACCCTGGCACAGGCTACCCAGGGCAGTAGTGGGGTCACTATCCCTGAAGGGATTTAAAAGACATGGAGATGAGGACTTGGGGATATGGTTTAGTCATTGGCTTGGTAGTGCTCTGTTAATGGTTGTACTCAGTGATCTTAGAGGGTTTTTCCAACCTAAAGGATTCTGTGATTCCATGATTCTGGTGTGAGGGATGTGGGGTGCTGGTCCATGTGCTCCCCACACTGCTCAGTGTTACCTTCTCAAAGGCAACAGTCTCTGTGTGACCATGACACCAGCTCTGGGTGCCACTGCCAGCTCTGGGGCTGCAGTGGTGAGCCCTGTTGTCAGCAGGTGGATCTAACTGGTTTCCTCCCTTCTTTCCCCACGTGGCTTAAAAATGTTGTGACCAGTGTTGAAATCTTACTGAATTTGTTTGCAATAACTCTACTGGCATGGGAAGCACTGACAAAATTAACCCCTGGGTAACCCATGGATGTGTAGTGGGGATCATCTGGGACGTGTCTGTCTGCTGGAGGTGCGGCACGGGCAGCTGGATTAGGGAGTATTGGTGTGGAGATGCTCTGAGATGGCTCCTTGTGGTTGATGCTGAGCAGGAATGGTGCCTGCTTGGCAGGCACTGGTGATGGGGGTGGCTGTGCTCCCCTGGCATCACCAGGGCTGGGATTCCATACAGAAGTGAGACAGATTCAGGGCAGAAAACACAGTGTCACACTGGTGAGGGGCACTCTTTGGAGTGCCTTGTTTTGTGCCCTTGTTTCTCCTGGCTGACAAAGCCAGGTGGCCGTGGGAGGCAGCCCAGAGGCGTGGGCAGCTGGGATTTGCTCCATGATTTAGCCATACAGAGCATGGCAGCCACTCACCGAGCAAAGCTCCATTCGGCTCCACTGCTGAGCACTGTGGGCAGAGCACTGTGCCCATAACCACACCCTCTGCGCCGGGCTCCCTGGCGTGAGGACCTTGTGACCCGTGGTCCCTGCTAACACAGTGGGGTGCTCAGCGTGTCCCAGGACTGGGAGAACAATGGGGCATCTGGATGTGCAGTGACAGCTGAGACTCGGTCTGGTTTTTCCCCAGGTGCAGGTGCCCAGGGGGGTCAGGACTTCAAGGTCCACCAGCCCCAGGACAAAGTGTCGGTGAAAGCGGGGGAGACGCTCACCCTGAACTGCACCCTGTCTGGATTCAGTGAACTTGGTCCTGTGAAGTGGCTGAAGGGCTGGGGCAGTGGGAACAAGACCATCTATGCAGACACGGTCTTTGCTCCCCGTGTGACGAGAGCCGTGAACGGGTCAGACACAGACTTCACCATCCACATCAGGGATGTTCAGCCCGAGGATGTCGGCACCTATTACTGCGTGAAGTTCACCAAGTCCCTGAGCGGTGGGGATGTGGTGTTTCAGCGTGGACCTGGCACAGAGGTGTCTGTGCTTGGTGAGTGGGGAATCCCAGAGCAGCTCCTGGGGGGAGCCAGCCCAGCCCAGCCCAGTCGGCTCTGCTCAGGGTGAGCAGGGATGGGGAGGGGGCTCTGGGGGCTGGTCCCAGGAGAGGATGCCATGGGCCATCCCTATGTCCTGCTCCCTGCAAACCTGGGGCTGGGCAGGGGGACAAAGTCTGACAGCCCTGTGCTTCTCCCCACAGCCCAACCCTCCCCCCCGATCGTGTCCGGGCCCAACCAGAGAGCAGGGCCGGGGCAATCGGTGGCTTTCAACTGCACGGCTGGAGGGTTCTTTCCCAGAGACATCAGCGTGAAATGGTTCAAGGACAGGGCCCCCATCTCATCTCAGCTGCCCCAGGTCACTGAATGGCGGGAGAAATCCTACAACATGTCCAGCAGTGTGACAGTGGTCCTAGGGGAGGGTGATGTCCCCTCACGGCTCATCTGTGAGGTGCAGCACTCTGCGTCACAGACCCTGCTGCGGGGGATGTACCAGCTCAACAGAGTCCTGAGAGGTGAGGGCTGGGGCACTTGTGCTGGGGTGTCCTGCTCCTGTGGGCCTGGGGCTCCTGGAGTGGGTACAGTGGGTCATGGGGTGGGGACAGGGCACCCTGCGGGCAGCAGAGCCGGGGATGTCAGACACCAGGCACTGCCTCTCTTCCCAGTTTCCCCCAGTGTGGATGTGAGCCCTGACCAGACGAGCCCCATTGAGCTGAACAAGACCGTGAAATTCACCTGCCACGTGAAGGGCTTTTACCCAGCAAACGTGGCTGTTTCCTGGCTGGAGAACGGGATGAAGATGAAGGTGCAGAACGACTCCCGGCCATCGCTGTTGCGCCAGGGCTTGTTGGAGCTGAGGAGCCAGGTGGAGGTGCAAGCGACAGAGGAGAGGAATGGGTCCGTGTTCACCTGCCTGGTGGTACATGACGGTCAGGCCCCTGTCAACCAGTCAGCCATCCTGTGGATTGCCAGCCCGGATGAGAAGGGACCAAGCAAGTGGTCCCAGATAAATAGTGGTGCGTCAAAGCTGGGTGGGGTGCCTGCCAGGGTGGCTGTATGGTGTAACCCCCTGAGAAAGCTCAAAGCCCCATCAAAATCTGGTTGAAGGACCAAATCTCTGTACCAGGGGGATGGAGGGTGTGATAGTGGCCGGCATCAAGCTGTCCTCCTTGGGGCTTCATGTGTAAGTGGGCCAACCCCAGCTGTGAGTCTGCAGGGACTGGGGGTACCAGGTTCTTGTGCCATGGTGACCTTTTCATTGATGTTTCAGGCAATTTGCTCATCTATGTTGTGGTGGCCGTGGTCTGCTTGGTGCTGGCCCTGCTGGTGGCTGCAATTCTGTACCTCATCCGGACAAAGCAGATCAAGGGTAAGGGAGCTGAGTGTGTGGCAGGGAGGCAGCTGTTCCCAAGCTCCTCCTTTCTCTCTCTCACATTAGTGCTTGGACAATTCCTGGTGGCTCCTACCCAGTGGGATGATGGATAGAGGTACCCTGGCTATTTGCAGGCAGCAGAGAAAGCTCTGCTTGGTCTGACCCCTGCCCTCTCCTGCAGGGAATGAAGTGAAACTCCAGGGAAATGTAGGCACTTGCCTCTGAGAAGAGATGTGTCCTTGCCCTTGTAGGAGTCTCTGCTCCATGCCTGGGGAAATGTGGGGGGTTATGTTGTTTCCTGGATTATTTCTTTCCTAAACTACTTTTCTTCCAGCAGGTAAAAGCTCACCAACTGCCAGGTGAGTGCAGATCTCCTCTAGTCACCGGGTATCCTGTGGGCACTCCGAGCGGGACACCTCTAGGATTGGGACAGAGCTGGATCCCCAAAACTTGTGAAAGGGAAGGCATGAGCATGGGCTCTGCCCATCTCCCTGGCTGGGGTTCTGCCCCCATGGTGATTTTTGGCTTGTGGTGGGGCTGAGCAGGCATGTGGGAGCTGGTCTCTGGCCAGCAGAGAGGCAGCTGGACCAACACATGAGCAAACACTCAGGACCCATCCTGCTGGGTGCAGCTGCAAGGTCCTCAGTTTGCATCTGACCTCCCCAGCTGCTCCATCAGCAGGGAAGAGGCAACAGGGAACTCAGTCTCTCTGTCTGGCTTTTTTCCCCCTTCCAGGTTACATGAACCGGAGAAGAGCAGCGAGGCCACGATGCAGGTGGGTCCATTCACCCTGGGGCTGTGGAGGGAGAGTGGCTGAGAGACACCGGAGATGGGAGCAGAGGGTGGTGGTTCCCCTGTGAAACATCTCAGTGTCTCCAGTGGAGGGTGGTGGTTCCCCAGTGAAACCTCTTGGTGTCTCCACACTGTGGCTGGAGATGGAAGAGAAGCTGCCCCAGGAATGGGGTAGCCACTTCCCAGCATCTTTCCTGCCTTCGCCCTCCCTCCTCCTCCTCCTCCCAGTAAAGTCTGGGTTTGTGCTGCCTGGAGAACCAGCTGTGCGATAGCCAGCCAGGCTATTTGTGGAGTTATTTTGCATTTGGTGACGCAGCTGTGAGCTAAATCGTGATCAGCAGCAATCTGTCCATCCCACCCAGGCTCTACCAGCTCCCTCGTGGGCATCGCTGGGCAGGCTGGCCCTGCTGGGACAGGGTGATGGAGCGGCTTCAGTGGTGGCTCTGGCATTGTGGCAGTGGTGCTGAAGCCCATCCCTACCAGGGCAGGGTGACAGGGTGGCTCATGATTTGAAGCTGTAGCATGGGGTAGAGCATGGCTGCAGGATGGTGGCTGCTGGCGTTGTTCCCCCTGTACAAGCAGGGGGACTGAGGTGTCCTGAGACAAGCTGCAGTGGGATTGATTCCAGCATGGAGCTGTGGGTTGGCGAGTGGGTGGTGGGTACAGGGAGGTCTTGGCTTGTCCTCCCAGAGGAGGAACTCTTGATGTCTCCTACAGGAATCCGACCCCAACAACCTGACCTATGCAGACCTGAACTTCGACAAGGAGAGGAAGACCATCCGCCGCATGGTGGAGATGGGCCAGCAGTCAGAGTACGCCTGCATCCAGACCAACCAGGCACCCAACGGCGACGACAACCTCACCTACGCCGACCTGGACATGGTGCACCTCAGCAAGGCACCCAAGCGGCCGGCCCCGCGCCCCGAGGAGGCCAGCTCCGAGTACGCCAGCGTCCAGATCCCCAGGAAGTGAGCAGTGGCTGCTGGGACCCCCTGTCCCGTGGGGGGCAGCTCTGCTCCTCCCTGGAGGGTTCTCTTGGAAGCACTGGGAGTGATGTGAAGATGTGCTGCGGTACCTGTGTTTTAGGATGGAAGTGGAGCCCGCAATACTGTGGTGGTCATCTCCCATCCACAGAGACCTGATTTTTGGGGCCAGCTTGGTCTTAGGGCTGCCCGCTCCACCCCCTTGGGACCCCCCCTGGGGGTCGCTCAGCCTCAGTGTGCGGGGTTTGCCCACGAGCGGGTTCAGCCAGCAGAGCAGCAGCTCTCTGGGAAGCTCCAGCTGGGCTGAGGGGACAGGTACAGTGCCTCCACACCAGCTCTCATGGGGATGCCACTGCCTGGCCCACGGCTCCCCGGGACCAGCAGGGCCCCCCACACTGCCTTCTGGGGCTCTGCCACCACGCCTGGACACCACACTCTGGCTTTAAAGGAAGGACCAAAGTGTCCGCCTCTCTTCCCAAGTGTCCCTTCTGCGGGACCTCGGTCTCGCCCCAAGGCCAAGAGGCTGGAAGGCCATCGAGCCGAGCCCCCACCCTGCTGTCCAGGGGGGCTCCAGGTCTGGCTCCCCATCACCAAGTATCCTTCTCATCATCATCATCTTCCTCTGCACAGCCTTGCCCTGCACCGGGACCCACCAGCACTGCCCCAGGCTTGTACAAAGCGTGCGGGGTCCCCCCAGCCTGGCTCCCCCCGGGAGCTCCCCGCAGGTACCATGTAACATGTTTTGACTGTTTGACATGTAACTGTTAATTTTTAGAGCTGAACCCCCCTGATGTTTTTGTGTTGTACGTGGGTGTACTGCTGTGTACTTAACACTAGAATAAGATGTGCGAGATTAAGACCGAGGCCTCAGTAAAAAGACCCTCCAACCCCTACAGAGTTTATAAGAGACTTACATGCCCCAACCCCCAGCTCTGTTTTGGGGGCCAGGCAGGTTCCCCCCAGGCCACTTGTGGGGACAAATGTCTTCCATGTGCCCCCTCTTTGGGCCAACATGCGGGGTCTCACCCTGTGTTGGCTCCTGCAGCAGAGGAAATGTGTGGGGCTGCCCCCCTGGCTGCTGGCAGGGGGCTGGGGGGAGCTGGAGGTGCTTTGGGAGCGATGTGACTGCTTGTACAGATTTTTTTTTGTTTCTTTTTTTTTTTCTTTTTGCTTGCAAGATATTTTTATAATAAAAGTGAAAAGTCCTGTGCTGCTCCCCCACATCAGCGTGTCCCTGTGCTCAGGGAGGCCACCTTGTCACCTGCCCTGGGGGTGCAGCGTGGGGGTCTGTGTGTCCTGCAGCAAAAAGGAAAGGGAGGGGGTTTATCCTGCACAGCCCTGCAATGTGCTGTGGGAAGAGGAAGGCAGGAGGCTGAGCCTGGGATGGGGGCTCTCATACTGGTGCTTCCCTGGGCAGCATGAGGGAGGGCAGCAGTGGACAGGGGCAAGGACTGGTCAGGGTCTGGCCCTGCTGCATCTTTGGGTGACCCCTGTTCCCTGGGAGCTGAACTGGAGCTGGGGTGCCCAAAGTGGGGTGCAGGCAGGGCTGGGTGCTGGCTGCAACCTGTGCTGCGGGTGAGCTGAGCATGCCAGTGCTCTGCAGTGACCTCCTCCCTTTCCCACCCTGGAGCTGGCAGCCTGGCCGTGTCTGGGACACAAGATGTATCTCACTGGAGCCAGGAACTGTAGTGTGAGGTTATGAAGAAGTTCAAAACGGAAGTTGCTGCCCAGGCTGGGCTTCCTCAGTACTGTGCTGCTGCTGGTGGGGTCACACGTGAGCACTAAAGGGGCAGTGTGCCCACTCCCCTTGGCATGACTGCCTTTGCTGGAGCAGCAGCTGTGATTCCCAAGGGAGCCTCCCCTGGGTGCTGCTGCAGGAGGTACCCTGCCAGCACCCTGCATGCCCCTATACCACGCTGAGCATGCCTGCCCTTTCTCAGCTGGGGTGGCCCTGTCACCCCCAGGACATGGCTCCAAGGGGGCATGGGGTCCCACGTTCCCTTCGGCACCCATGGCACAGGAAGGGGACCACTGTGTGCTGCCTGCAGGTCTCACAGGTGGCACCACTGACACCCAGTCCAGCCCCAAACTTGGGGTGCACGGTCCCTTCATGCCAAGGGCTTGCTCTGCCCCATGGAGAACGCTCAGCACCCGGCATGGCTTCGGCTTCATTGACATCTGCCTTTTATTGACTGCAGGGGGAGTTGGGTGTTGGGGTGTGGGGCTGGCCCTGCCTCTGGGGTTGTTCTTGGAGGGGCAGCCCAGGGGCACCAGGAGGGCGTTGGGGTGGGTGGGACACGGTGAGCAGCTCGGGGAGGGGAGTCAGGGTTGGGCTCAGCACCGCTTGAGCACCCGGTGACAGGGCTGTGGTACCCCCAGCCACCTCTGCCCACAGCCATGGGAGCTACCTCCCTGATCCTTCCCGGTGCTCAGAGGCCGCTGCCCTGTACATCAGCTATGATGATTTCCAGACCCTGCTGCTACACTTTAGCAGCCACAGGAGAATGGAGGATACATGTTTCCAGCAGTTTGCCCCCAGGAGCCCTGGGGCTGGATCACGGCCACACCGCCAGCAGCCAGAGGGGTGGCACTGTCCCCTCCATGCACAGAGTCCCTAAGGGATGGGCAGGTGAACCAGAGAGGGACAACTGGGGATGGGACCCATGGTTCACTGGGGGAATGAGACAGGGATGACTCCAACCACGCCGGGCTGGGCAGGGGACAGGGCTGAGGTCGACGGAGCAGTCGGGGCTGGCAGCGTGGGGACTGTGGTGCTGTCGTCCCACGCCTGGCTCTATAGGTCCAAGACCTCCCCTGAGTAGGCGCTGGGGTCCTCGTCAGACCGCGTGATCACCTTGAACTGCCGCCGCAGGAAGCCCCCGTAGCGCTTCTGATTGTCCCACTTGAGCTTGGGCCGGATGCGGCGCATGAAGCCGCCGTAACGCTTGTGCAGCTGCGCCAGCTCCTGCCCCTCGGGCCCGGCACTCGTAGGCTCCTCGCTCCCTTCACCTGCTGGCCCCAGCCCCGGGTAGTCCTCGGGGGCTGCCCGCTCCTCTGGCTTGTGGCCGAAGCCCACGAACTTCTTGGTGAGGCCGCCCTTGCTGTGGGCGTTCTCGCGGAGCAGGGACAGCAGCTTCCCCTTGGACATCTTCTTCATGAAGCCCCCGTAGCGCTTGGCCAGTGCCAGTGGCTGCTCCCCGGGACCCAGCTCCTGCTCCAGCTCTGCCTTGTTCTCCTCCACCTCCAGTGGTGATGGGTCTGTCCCTTCAACCAGGGCCACCAGCGGGGCCAGGAGCGCCAGTGCCTTCCTGCACATCTCCCACTCGGGGCCAGGTGGCAAGGAGCCCTGGCATTCCCATAGGCACATCTGCAAGATAGCAGCCACAGCGGTCCCAGGTACTCAGGGTGACCTTCCACCCCATCTTCTTTCCACTCCACCCTGGGGATGCCCCCACCCCAAGCCCAGGGGTCCATGCCCACCATGCTGCACAGCTCTGTGAGGAGCCAAAACTTGCACATCCCCAGCACCCCGGGGTGCCCATGACCACCCCCCAGGTGCCACCATGCACCCACAACACCCCATTGCCATGACCACCCTGCTTCATATCTGCACAGGGCCAGCACTCACCAGGGGCCGGACGCTGCTCTCAGTGCCATGGGTCTGGGCTGCGCAGAGGGAACACTGGGTGACACAGTCAGCAGATGCCACCGCAGCCAGGGACAGGCAGAGTGCCAGTGCCAGTGCCCACCTTGCCATCTCACCCTGCAGCCACTGCCTAGGGAAGGGGAGACAGCACAGAGCCCGTCACCTTCCCTGTGCTGGCTCTGGGAGACCCACCACTGCTCCATGGGCTCTGGGCACCCACCACTTCCACCTGTGAGCTGCTCCTGGGAACACACACAGGGACCTGTGCCTGTGCCCTCCCTGTGAGAGTTACCTCCAGGCACTGCTCCTGGGTCCCAGGCCAGGAGAGAGGGGACAGGAGTGACTCGTAAGGACACTACAGGATGCAATCCCTTACCCCTGCTGCAGCCTGGTCCCTGGCACAAGCCCTGGGCCACAGCCAGGCCCTCAGGGCCACCAAGGTCACTGGGGGGCAGAGCCACCATCGCATCCCATCCCATCTGACTCCATCCCCTCTCTCCTCTCTATCCCTCTTATCATAACATTAGAAAGAAAAGTGCCTTTTTTCTCTAGTGCTGTGTTTCTCTGTGATACTGCAATTGCCACATCTGTGTAGTGTGGAGGGATGAATCACCAGCTCTTCCCCTTGGCCTTGGGGAATAGAACCACAGCAACCGGAGCTGTGGTGGGAAGGGGAAGGGGTGATGCCATCACCCAGTATGGACTCACTCCAGGCTGCTGTACCCCACACCAGTGCAGCCTCATCTCTCCTCCCTCCCACCCACCAACTCTGCTGGGCTGGTGCATCAGGAGGGAGGGGGGAAAAACCTGGATTTTGGCTTCAAGCCTACCTGCAAGCCCTGATTGCTGTCCTGCAGCCGCCTGGGAGCTGTGACGGAGCCTCTGGCATCCGTGGGTGAGGCCAGGGAGGGCTGAGAGAGGGGCTCAGCTGAGAGAGGGGCTCTCCAGGTGGCAGTGCTCAGCCAGACCCTGGATGAGGCTGGAGGGGCCAGTGCCAACCTCCGTTCAGGATCACGGTGCCACCAGGACCACGAGGGCCCCGGGAGTAAGAGCCAACCCCAAAGGGGTGCGCTGGCTGCAAACCCCTGCCTGCCTCCGTGGCTGCTTTTATCTGGGGTGGGAAGACATGACCCAGAGGGATCTGTTACACATTAATGACGCATATTAGAGACTATTGTGTTCTCCAGCAGTAGCTGCTAATGTACTGTAATTGGTACTGATGAAGAAATGTTAATGCCACAGTATTAATTCACGCTAGATTAAAATTTAATTTGAATTATCTGCACCATCGTGCGTCGAGCTGTCTGCATTCCTTGGCTGCGCTGCCACCGGCTCCGTGCACCCCCCCCAGTGCCCTGGCAGCACGGCAGGGACCACAATGAGCATGGTGGGACCTCACCCAGCCCTCACTGCGGAGACACAGAGACGGTCCCCTTATTGCCTCGGAGCCACTGAGACAGCACCAAGGAGCGAGGACCTGCTGGCCGCACAGGTAGGTGCCAGCTGCAGCACCGGGAGGAATGAAGCTCCCAAAAATAGCTACCAGCTGCTTCCCAGCAGCCCCACCGGGAACATTTTTTTCCTTTTTTTTTCCACCTCCTTCCCCTCCCTTGCCCTGCCGTGCTCCTCTGCTGCCGATGTGGGTGACGCCAGAGTAGCGGGAATGTTCACTCCGTGCCGGGAACAAGCTGCCAGTGAGAGTGGCACTGCACAGCTCACTCCCCTGGCACTCTGAACACGGTGTCCTGCTGAGAACCCTGTCCTGCTGCTGCAGAAGGAGGATTTCACAGCACTCAGGGGAGCTGCAGCTCTCCGGGCACAGTGTGTCCAAGGACACCCCGAGACACCCCACAGCAAATGTACCGTGTCCAGGTGGGTCCAGGCAGTTCTCTGCCTGCTCCTGCGGCTGGGAGGGGGGAACTGGCAAAATGGGAGTAGGAAAAGGGGAGGAAAACAAAGGGCTTTGGACAATA